TTTGACAACTGTATCGTAACAATAAGTATTCAAAAGACCTATATTATGTGGTAGTTACAAATCTTTATTCATTCAAATTAACTGTTTTTGCGCTTCTTAATGCTAATCAACTGAATTAGTCACAAATTCGTGCCATGTCAAAATGATACGTAAATACAGCTAAATATTTACTGTTATGTTAATTCTAAAACCAAATGAAACAATGCCAGTTTCTTTTAATTTAACGTAAATTCTTACCCAATTTCTGGAACAGTACTTACATGTAACTTAGAGATCTTATCAAATTCAAAGTTTTAAAATATGTGACAAATTAACATTCTTCCACGAACATTTAAAGCAAAAAACGGTAGCAAAAATTAATTAATTAAAATAATTACGGGTTCAAAATAAATTTTTGAGACGCTCTACTATTAAATTTCTTCGTTGAATCTGCACTGATTTTTGAAAACTTTTAACGGCATTTTTATGCTAATATGATTTAATGATAATTTTATGCAAAAAGTACGTACAAAAATAAAAAACTCAAAACATTTCTAAATACTAAAACAAACGTACAAAATTAAATTTAGTACCCTGTGAAAACCGCGATGAACATTAGCTATAATCAATTTGATTGAAATCAACTCATAAATGGTTGTTAAAATGGTGATCGGTAAAAAACAAGAAACGTCTTCGGCGTTAAATTCTGCATTAAAGTGCACTGAAAGGATGTCATTGGATATTTGGCGAAATATTCAAGCAATTCGAAACTCGTAAGACTGCACATTGGTATGAAACACTTTAACGACAGTGAAATTAAAATTAGAAAATCAGTAGAATAATCAGAAAAACCCAATACTTTCAAGAGGTAGCATCAAACAGAATCCGCATCCATTCACGCTTTGTTTTAAAAACCACAAGACAGGCAAACAGCTTTCAGCTAGCCAGCAGCTGAAAAAAGCATCGGGAACTTTTTACACAACGGCTGAAAAAGGAAACCTTTACAACAGTACTGTTGTCTGGTATTAGCTCTACAGGTTCCCATCGTAAAATGGCACATTTTTCCTAAGGTCATTAAAAATAACCATTTATACAATTAGTGTGAAAAAGACACAACAGTCTTGCGTCTGCATATTACACAACAACTGAGAGCACCCAAATGAGGAAATGATGCTTTTCTCACGTGCTTCATACCCCTTTTGCTTTTCCCGTCCAGAAAACTGAAAAACGTTTCTAAAAGCTATACCTACTTATCTTAGGCGTTTACGCTTATGGAAGATCTCCGAGCACTTTGAGCTTTGTCTCCTTTTTCCATAATTCTTCCACTAACATTTTATAAAAAGCGGTTCTTTTTAACGAACAAAAAAAAATACAACACTTGCTTTGGAAAATGTTAATGAGCTCGTCCAAAGCGAAGACAGTAAATGTTTTTTGGGCAACCGGAAGAATCGAAAAACGAAAATATATATCTTCCGCATTCACAGCACGTTGTTTTTGCTGTTTGTAAGAAATTTACTTTTTCTGACTTCGCTGCCGAATTAGCATTTAGACTGTGCAACCTTCGCAATGTTGAACACTGAATGTGGTGTGTCATAGGCTTCAAAATTGTTAGCAATTTAAGTTGTGCTTTTATTATTTTACAAATAGTAAACACAATTTTCCATCAAAGCTCTCACTTCACATGCTAAAATAAATTGAAATTAATGTCTAAATGGTCCGGTAACATATTCAGCTATTAATTATGGTATGATTAATAATAAAATTGCAGATGATTTAGCATATGTATTTAGTTAAGCGTTATAATTAACCGACTACCAAATTCAAACATGAATATATTGATGAATAAATTGTAATAGTAAGTACCTATTCAAAAGGCATAGACGCGTTGCAACAATCGCTTCCTCTCATATTAAGTTATGTATTTTTGTGGTCGCTATCTTTTTATATTGCTTTTCAAATTAGTTATTCGAGCAAAAAAATGTCTTTGTTTAATAAAGCTCAAAATCAATAACTCACTTGTTAAACAAAATCATCTGATCGTATCGTGTCAACTTTTATACGATAAGATATTAAATTTGAGAAAAATTTTCATAATCACAGACTCAATATCATAAAAATATTACAGTTACGTAAGTTTTTCATCATACAAATAAAAAGAAAATAATTACAACCACGATTGTAGATCATCTTCGAAAAGGCAAACTCCTGAAACGACAATTTAAAAAGAAATTCTCCTTGTTCTGGTACACCAACAGGAATACAAAAATTTAAGAATTGTAGGAAAAAAAATAACTGGCAGTTAAAACAGTTTCTCGGAAAAGTATAAAAATTGAATACGGTCATTTATAGTTTGTAATGTGCTAGTTTTGCAATGCTATCAGCTCAATTACATACATAATATGCTGTGAATGTCTTACCCTGTTGAATTAAATTCACATTTTTCAAGAAGAGACTTTTTGGAATCTTAGCTTTCGTAAAGAAGAAACCCACCAAATTTAATTCAATAAATCAATTGCAATGATTTTGTAACAAATACATATCTACAATCACCAGCAAAGGACGCAGAAAGCTTTAGTTCGTTAACGACTTTGGCTTAATAAGCTTTCTGCAGGGGATACCCCTAATAAAATTCAATTGGTTGCTAGGCCAAGAGCCATAATTTTTTGTGGGAGATCTTCTCAGGCACGCGGATTTATCGCACCCCACTTGCAAAAATTACCACAAGCTTAGTGGCAATTAGCAATATTTTTCGTACGAGACTAAAACGATATTTTTAAACTCACTTACTATCGGTCTCTAAAAAAACGTTCAACAATCTACAACGAAAAATGTTACAAGATTTCACCGATAAGCTTGGGTATCTAAAAGCATGAAGACTACAAACTTGTGGTAAAAAAAATATTTTCCAACAAAACCTTCACTTCAAATGCGGAAATAAGATGAAAGTAATGCCTAAATCATCTGTAAAACTATTCAGTTATGAAGTATTTATGGTACGATTAATAATCAAATTGCAGATGAGTTATTATTATTAGCACATAGATTTAGTTAGGCGTTATAATTAATCGAGTACTAAATTCAAACATGAATGTACTGATGAATTAATTGTAATCTTAAGTATTCAAAAGGCATACTACAAACGCATTATAAATGTCGTTTCTCACTCAATTTAGTTATGTATTTTTGCGTTGGGTATTTTGTTACAATAATTACTCTTAAATGGTTTAAAATCTTCGTCTTCATCAATTTTTTCAAAAGATGCCTGTAAGAGCTACGTATTTTATACACCGCTTATAAAAGCACGAAATATTAAGTTTAAAATTCATAATAACAAAACATTTAATTTCAAGAAAAAGCAGTCATTTACAAATTAATAATTCTCATAATCAGTAAATCATTGATTAAAAAACATTATATGATTGATCCTTGATTTTCTGTGAGATTTTTATCAATCATTGAAAAAAATCTCACAGCAGATATTTAATTCTGAAGGAACATGGATTAATACAAATTTATAAAAAATGTCGGCCAATTTATTCTGAAAAGACAGTATGTACGGACACACCGTTAGGAATATAAAACATAAATTTTAGCAAAATACTATAAACACTTAACTAAATTTCACAGTTTGCGATAACTGAAAATATTCGGCAAAAAGTATATTTATATAAATTGTGAGCATGCTTTCACCATATCTACGTTTCATTGTATAAAAAACACTAAAAAAAGTAATATATGTATCTAAACAAACTACCGAAACGCATGTTTTTGCCATGATTATTTCACACTGATTGTAACAAATGGAATATGTAAGAGCGTTGTCTAAAATGTATAATACTTTTAAAGCAACACATCAAAATATTTAGAAAGCTTAATGATTTTCATAAATATATAATCAAAAAACGTTAATGCAATTTTTCTAAATAGTTCTGATATCATAAATGGCCTGAAATAGAGCATTTATATGTATTATGATCTTAGTGTTATTGTTATTATTATTATAGTTATCTACAATTCATGGATTATGTTATTCTCCTATTGCTTAATAAATGTATAGTTTTGCAAGTACTAAAAATATTGCAGACAGAGAAGAGCCTTTCAAGAAAGTAAAAATTCAACATAGAAATAAATCAATTATAATTTTCTTTCATTTCGCCCAACGTATAAGCAGGTCTCAGTACATTAAAATGAACCTCAAAGTTAATATTTTGAACAATTTAGCATCTAGTAAAATTTAAAACGATGGAAATACGAGTAATAAAATAAATTAAAATAAACTAGTACTGAAGAAAGCATGGTAAACTTACCACAGTAACGTAAAAAACACAGCAGGAACGATGTTACAAATTTTGGAAAACGATCTACGCCGTCACAACCGTGCGTTGTATTTATGTAATATGTTGGTAATGTAACGGTTACAAATCGACTAAAAAATTATTGCATTGTGTTCTTAACGTACCTCGTGGGTAGGTAAACAAACAAAGCACATTTTGGCGATCACTCCATACAGCTTCGAGTCTAATTTATGATGCAATTGGAAGTCTTCTAAATTTATAAAATCAAACGTCTTGAATTGTATGACGTTGATTTTTTTTTATTTTATAAAAATGCACTCGATGGATGTCATGATAATACCTGGCGAAATATTCAAGCAATTCGAACTTCGTGAAATTGCACATTTCTTCGAACACTTTGACGACAGCGAAATTAAATTAGAAAATCACACCTCCGCATTAAGCAACTCAATAGAATAATGAAAAAAACCCAAACACTTTCAACAGGTACCATCAAAAAGAATCCACATCCATTAGCACTTTGTTTAAAAACCTCAAGAATGAAAATAAGCAGCGCTCCGCCAATCAACAGGTGGTGCTGGTCACCGTTATCACACCGCAAAAAGCGCCTCTGATCTTTACATGGCAGTCGAAAAAGCGCGAGAAAAAGTGAAAAACTCCCGATAAGATAATCGCGTAATAGGCAATAATCCTTCTGGCAGAAGAGGAACTCGTCAAGCGTCGTACCGTTCATGTAGACGTGCTGCCTCCACAGCTGCTGGTACTGCGTCCAGCGGTCGTCCTGGGCCTGGACGTGGGTGAGTGTGCCCTGCATCACCCCCACGGGCACCTGGTGCGCCCCTACGCCGGGGGCGGCTGGCGGCGGCGGCAACTGGTACTCCATTCTCTGCGCTTCCTTCACCGGTACCACAAAACTCATGTTATAACATGCTAACTGCAGCCCGGCACTACCGTAACACTGCTGAGCGCTCTTCTGCGAGCCGGAAGAGCAACTGGACATGAAGCAGGGCCCGCGGACTCCGTGCTGAGTGAATGGGCGGCCGGCGCGGGTGGGGGCCACTCTCGGTTTCGCAAATGCCGGAAACTACCGGCACTCTCTGCAATTGTTTGTTGTTGTTCTTTCTCTGTTTGGCTTCCCGTTACGTCGTTATCACGAGGTGATTAATTCGACGATTGTAGGTGCGGAATCGCGGGATGAAGCGAAGAAGACGCCGACGTTCTCACACACTTTTGACCATTGTTTCTGGGAGATTTTGGCACCGGAGGAGCACTTTCACTTCGCCCGAATTTACGGAGCGAGTTCTCAGGCTCGGAATGAGTCTGTATGTGTGCTGTTACGTAAGATTTCGCTCAAATACGATTTACGAAATTCTGCTTTCCTTATGATCATTCATTATTAATTTATTTAACTTTATTTTCACTTGTTTAAGCCTGAAAAATTATTTTCTCGGAGACGATATAAATCAAAGTTTGGAAAATTGTTTACACAGAACTTCCTTCGCCTCCGAAGCACAAAAAACAATAAATATCGCATGAGCATATCAGCAGGGCGAATGTTTATTTGATAATAATATTTTGAGATGGCGTCATCAAATTACATACTGATAAACACATTACTTTTGATACCCTTTTGACATACTCGGAAAATTGGGTGAAATTTTTCCCAGATAATCAATAAAATAAATCGATTCATATATTAATTTCTTTGAGGCAGTCTACGAATAATCAACTACAAAATAAAATTATTTAAACATGTACGGTGTACAAGTCAATTTTTTCAAATGAAATGTCTTAATATATTTTTAGACATTCTAACTGACATCTTCTTAGGCTTTATAACGAGGAGAGTGGAATAAAATTTCTTGTTCCAACCTCCTCGTTTTATAACCAGTTTATTTTTGAAATTCTAATGCGACGTTATTCCATTTCTCTTGAAATTTTTAAGCAATGCCAATGGAAGGATTCACATTTTTTTAATCTATGTTACAAGATTTTGTGATGATAAAAATAAATTTTCAAATTTTCAAATATCGCTATTTCATTTTTTTTTTTTAATAATAATGAAAAAACTTTCAGAGTTTAAAAAATATATTTTTGTAGTCACTGCTACACGTGTTTCGGTACACAGTACCGTCTTCAGGCAGAAGTTTCTCTTCTTTTTTCATTATTATTAAAATTAATATGGAGTTTAAACACGTATCAGCCTCATCAATACAAACATCGCTATTTCAGTTTAATCAAATGCTGCAGCCTGTATTTTATTGCTGCATCTGGATTATTGTTTTCCCTCTTTTTTGTTTCGTATTTTCTGTATACTTCACTTGATAATTATTGCGATTTTTTATTTTTTTAAGAGACACCGACATATTGCAAAAGAGAACAACAAATAGAGTAAGATGGAGTAATAACATACGGACTGTTTTATTTGAATAAACTGAAATATCAATATTTAAAAATTGTACAGTTTTAAAATTTTTTTATAAAGACTCTGTATAAGATTAAAATTTCATTTAATTAATACCTCAACAAAATTTCCGTTTATTTTTCTATAAAATACTACTACATACGTCTTAAAAGTTACATTTTTGTGATCCCTTGCATTACTAAAAAAATTTCAATAAAAGTGTAATAAGGTGGCAACGTAATTTCAAAAACAAACAATATTCATATATTAAAAAAAAACTGTTACATGTTAAGCCTCAAAAACAAAACACTCTGAATAGTCGAAAATAATTTTAATAAATGGTACTCAAAGAACCATAGAACTTCAGTCTATGACTTTTTTCCTATATCTATTAATAATAATTAGTGAGATATCGATGATCGCGCACTTAGTGACTCACCCTGTATATTTAGCACATTTAGAAATTAATTACATATTGTGTTATTTAGGTAAACGTATGAGAATTAATCTTTTTTCCTACCCCCTTAAGGGCACTTTGTGTAAATATGGACATGGAATATGGTTAATCATAAAATAGTGAGTTTTTTTATTGTTAGAGTTTTGTTTTACAAATAGACCCTTTTTGATAAAATTGAAAACACAAATCGGTTAATACATTCATTGTTCAAATAGTAGTTTCAGTGTTTGTTTTTTCCCAAAATTTTTACCATTTTGAATTTCACAGGTCAATAAAGTTTTAGTCGTTACAAAAATAACATTCTAATTCAGATCAAATTCGATTCCACTTAGTAGCAGTGATTTCTAGTAATTCAGATTCATTTCGATTTTACAATAGTGTTTCATAAGTTCAAAAAGAATTCCTGTGAATCTATGTCAAGCCAAATTTTATTTTTAGTGTATCTTAAAGCAAAACTGAAATATAATCAATCTAACAATTATTTTCGCCTGAGTGAACATAAAAACTAACTGTAGTATTATTGTTAGTTATTCATGTATGCTGTAGGAATATTAACAACCTTTGCTTCAAATATGTTCGTTGTTGTTTTGTTTTTTCTTGTTGAACACATTTGTCCGACTTCTTTAATTATTTGGATATAGTATTTCTATTTGGTAGATACACTGATTTTAACTTTGATATTATTTCAAAATCTTCATGAAATTCACAAATTTTACGATCAACAAAGCAGCTAATACAAAATGTGCATTTGCTAACAATGAAAATTAGAAATAATAATTGTGATTTTAAGTTCCACTGGAAATGATAATGTGGGAACCAAATTTTTTTTTTAATAGTTATTTAAAAGGTCTTAAAAATAGGTGCTTTAGAAAAAGAATTTGAAAAAAAAATAAAAAGGCTCTTCCTAGAATAAATAAAATGAAGTAGTTTATGAACCTCTTTTGAAAAACAGCCAGAACAAAGAATTCTAAAAGATAAGCAAATATTTATTCAAGCACTAGAACTTACACTCAATCCGTAAATTTAATGTAGCACTAGACGTGACAATCAATAACTTGATAGAATTTTAGGAAAATTAATTAAATAGATTTTCATATGCATTTTTGAGACATCCGTATAAGCAGTTCTGAAGAGTAAAGTTCAAACTAACGTTATGAGACACATCTGAATACTAAGAAATATTTTGTTATTTGACTTTTCATGACTTTCAAGATTTTTTTATTCGTCTTGTGAGGCACACATCACATACTAATACTGATTTAGTAAAACGTATAGTAAAGAGAATCACAAGGTCACTCTTTTTGCATCTACATAATGCCAAAAATCAAATTTTATATTTGTGAATTTACGTTAAAATTTTGAGGTCCTGACCGGTTTATTACCATGTCTATAGGAAATAAGTTTGTGAAGAAATAAGAAAGGTGGTAATTCCACATAAAAACGAAGTTTGTCTTCATTTCCGGCAAAACTGGAAGTACTATTACTATTATAATTTGCTTTTTTCCAGACTTACTTCCTATATAGACAACTGAGATGAAACATTATTTAAATATCTTTATTTAATGCAAAGTTGGTCCCCTTTAAACTTTTTGTTTTGCAATTGATCCACTAATATATAAAAAGTTAAAAATTAGCCGTTAGTTTATGGAAGCTTACCGTTAAAAACTAACACGACAGTAACCAGTTTTAATACAAAAAGTGTTTACGTCGTAATAGTGGATGCCTGCAAATCCATGCATAATTTGTAATAATAATAATAATCATTAAGGTACCAGTTGCGCAACGGTCGAACAAAGACTGCATTTTTTTTTTTTTTTCTAAAAACAACAATAAATTAATAATTAATTTTGCTTCTCTTCATGTCTGCGGTCTTACTACTTGAAAACTATAACTAAAAAATCAGTTAAAAACCATAAGGTATATTAAACTTTTGACACTAAATCCCTGATTTTTTAACATTTTTATAAATTTCGCAGTGCAGAAGTCGAGGAACTTTGGATTTTTCTTGCACAATATTTTCGACTTGTGTTATCAATAACTTAGTTAATAATTAGTCATTACTCATTACATACCGCCACCACGCTGATAAAATCTTGCAAATTAATTCTAATAAACCCTGTATATATATTTTTTTTAATTTGTTCGTCGTACTGTACAACCGCATAATACATATTAACAGAACTGGTAAAATAAAACAATAAAGAAAAAACTGAATACATGTATATGTATTTGTGTACACCGGACCACGATCACGAGCCTGTATGCATAAAAATTTGAAAAAAAACGTATTTTACGATCCGTATGAAAGTAGTTAGTAACAATAAATAAGACTGACTCCACTCATCCTGAATTTCTTGTTTTGAGATTGTTTTGGAACATCTGATTAGCATAATCTACATCGCTACAGGTAGTTCTCTAATTTTTAACATATCGTTGCATTTGCAAAAACTAATTTGTATGTGTTTCAGAAATAAAATAACGCCCTCTTACCTTTATTTTGTTTATATTAAATAAAGCGCTTCTTGTGTGGTCTTGACAAGAAGCGATATTGTTCTTCGACAATCAACACTTTTTATCTTGCTAAATTTAAATATGAAAGTTCCTATTAAAATAATTTAAATAATCCTGCATATTGTAGGTGTTTAGATCCAATTAAGGTGAAATAAAAATCCCAATAGAATAAGTAAAATTCCATTTCGAATAAAACTCGCCAATTATTACTGTTTGTTTAGACAAAACTTTGTTATTTATACAAATGTGAACTTCAGAACTCGACTGTTTATCTATTCCTATCTGTTAGATTGAAGACGCGGAAAACAGTCAAACGAATAAAAAAATCGTTAATTTAATTTTTGGAGAATTTTTCGCCCTCAAGTTTTAGTAAGAATTATACTACCTCAGTCAGGCAGCAGTGATTTCTCGGATCAGATCAGACATCTACTTTGTTATTTTAATATTCTTCGGGGAAATACTCAAGGCCATTCTATTTTAAAACGATTAAAGTTGAACAAATAGAAAAAAGGTAAATTATTAAACCATTAAAGTAAAAAATTACTTAAGCTTTGTACACATCATACCAACTCATCTTCAAGCATAAAAAATCTTTAATATACTGGCCTACAATAAGCTGAAGTGTCCCCTAGCGGGTT